ATCCGAATCCAATCCGAAAATCCAAAATTTCATAAAACACAATCCGTATCCAATCCGAAAATCCGAAATTTGAAATCCAAAAAACCGAAATAGAGTGGATCGGATCGGATTTCGGATATCCGATCCAAATGCACAACCCTACTCTACGTGAATGCGGAGCCTCCCTCGCTAACGCGATGCCCAATCACTTAGCCCTTCGCGAACGTGGAGCCTTCCTCACAAATGCGAAGGCTTAAATCCCAGCCTTCACCAACTAACCCTTCGCGAACGCGAGGACCTACTCGCGAACGTGAAGGTCTAATTCCTCTCCAACACACAACAGTTTTTCCGTAACTCCAAACAACATGAAATGGTCCGATTGACCATCCGAAACTCACCCGAGGCCCCCGGGACCTTAATCAAACATGCCAACATATACCATAACCTCATTCAAACTTGTTCCAACCTTCGGAATGCTCAAAACAATATCAAAACACCAAATTCGCATCGGATTCAAGCCTCAGAATTCAAAAATCTTCTAAATTACGCTTTTGATAAAAAAACTAACCAAACCATGTCCGAATGACCTGAAATTTTGCACACACATCCCAAATGACACAACGGAACTACTGCAACTCTAGAAATTCCATTCCAACCCCTATATCAAAATCTCACCTATCAACCAGAAATCACCAAAAATCCAATTTCGCCAATTCAAGCCTAAATCTACTCCGAACCTCCAAAACTCATTCCGATCACGCTTCTAAGTCTCAAATAACCTACCGAAGCTATACAAACCATCGAAACTCACATCCGAGCCCTCTAACACATAAGCCAATATCCGGTTAACTTTTCCAACTTAAGCTTCCTCAAAAGAGATTAAGTGTCTCAAACCTTACCAAATCCTTTCCGAACTCGAGCCGACCAACCCGAACACGCATAAAATCGATAGACAAAGCAACACGAAGAAGAAATGGGGGAAACAGAGTGGTAAATCATGAGATGACTAGCCGGGTCGTCACATCGATAATTTGGGATAAATAGGGTCCTAGCTATAATATCCCATATTTATGGACTAGTGCCATACAAGGTACCACATGACCATAATAGTAAGGTGTATAAAGTTTGTTAAAAATGAGTAATATTTTAAGTAATCTGAAATAATTCCTAATTATGTGGATAATTATGGATTTTTAATGGGAGATTAATTAAGTAATCAAGCTTAAAATGGATAAGACTAAGTGCCCTTAACGTGGAAGCCCAAGGCTGTCTTGATCAAGCCTAGAAATGACTCTTAAGTCATGTAAAAAGGTGGCACATTTTTAGAAGAGTTTTATGGCTTAGTCACACATAAATGGGGCCTACACTCACTAATACAAAAGGCTTCTCTAATAAAGATGGTCATTACTAATGAAGGCTACTCTAATGAAGATGGTCATTTCTTACTAATACTAAGTAACGAATGAAAATGCATCAACAATTCATACAAGCATTTGAATGGTAGTAACCTGATTTTTCTTGAAACAAGATTCATACGAGACTTCTTAGTATAATAGCAACATGATTTTGCGATTCTAAGGGAGTACGGTACAATCTTTCTCCAGAATATCATACGGATGAATATGTGTTATTATGTGTTTTGTCGCAATTAACATGTGTTAGAGGGATTGTCAAGAGAATCGACTCAGGTATGTTAAGGCTATCCCTTCTTTCTTTTTGGCATGATCTATACGATACAAACGAAACGAGAAAATGCACAACTTCCATAAATGACTCTATTCATAGAAGTGCTAGAGATGCTTATGTTCTTGATTCCCCATATGTCCTATTATTCTATCATCTGTTCATGGGTCTCAGAAAAATGCGTAATTGATAAAGTTTATTTCATGATATTAATTAGAGACATAATGGTCTTATGATGTTCCAAGAGATTTTATTGACGTACTTCTCATGCATTGCATTAATTTATACATGTACATTGACCAATGACCAAATGACGTTATATACGCGTATATATGTATATACATGTATATGGGATGTGGGAAAAGGTTACGGAGTTATATACGCACCACCACCTGATCAGCTAGTATACGTTGATGATTTTGTCCACAGTGACCGAGATGATATGATGGGATGCCCTTAGAGGCTTGATGATGTTATGAACACATGTACCTATGCACGACATGACATTCTTATGCATATGCATGGAACTATAAGTATTTCATGATTTACAGAGTTATCCAGACTTACTGGTTGAGTCATTTACTCCATGTTTCTTCCATGTCTTTTATATACTTATTTATGTGCCTTGCATACTCGGTACATTATTCGTACTGATGTCTTTTTGTTGAGGACACTGCATTTATGCCTGCAGGTATGAACAATCAGTTTGACGAGCCCTTATAGTAGACGAGGTTAACATTCAGCGAAAGATCGGTAAGACTCCACCTCATTTGGAGTGCAGCCGAGTCCATGAGTTATCATGTTAGTGTTTTGCTACATACTTATGGGTAGGCCAGTACCCTGTCCCATTTGATGTCAAATACTTTTAGAGGCTTTGTAGACAGAGGTTCATTTTATACAGTATGTCAGAGGCCATGTTGGCCCAGTTACCAATGATAGTACGATAAGAAAGATATGTTACTTTGGTACTCAGTTGAGTAAGGCATCGGGTGCCCGTCGTGACCCTTCGGTTTGAGTCGTGACATCACGATGGTGAAAATTTGGTAAATAGTCACTTTTGAGGTCTTCTATTAGAGTTTAGCCATATTTTAAATTGTATTGGCAAAGTAACTACTCATTAGTGCTGAAATACAAGTCTAGATTTAGCACTAGTAAAGGTTCAAAAACCGTGAATTGCTCCTGGATTTTCCCGAATTTTGCAGTAGTAAATATTCATAATTGCAGAAGTACAATGTGTATTAAAAAACCAGGAATTATTCATGGATTTATATCAGTAAAGGTTCAAAAATCAACAAATATTTTAGGATTTTAGATTTTGCACTAGTAAAGATCTAAAATCACTAAATTACATTGTGAATTAAAAAATATTTAAAAGTAGTAAAGATTTTGCTAAGGCAGTTAGGCAAAGGATCAATTTATATTGTACTAGCGGTGATTTAAAAGTGATAGTGGAATCGGACTCTTTGGTGATTGTCAATATGATCAACAAGAAGATGAAACCATCATGGCAAGTCTTTCATTTGGTTGAACAAATCTAGGATATAACAAAAAATGGAGAGTTTACCTTTGTTTATATTTTCAGAAATGGAAATGTCATTGCTGATCAGCTAGAAAATATGGGTGAGAACACCATGATGCAAGCTATCTTCACAGAAGTTGTTTCTCTTTCTAGTAAGGTTGGAGTTAATTTGAAGTTAGACCAAGAGGGTCTTTCAAATTTCAGATTCAGGCCAAGAAAGAAATCACTTCTCTATCAGTGATGCTATTACATAATAGATCAATAGGTGGGGTCATATGTACCTATTTATATTTAGTATCAAACTTTAAGGAAGCGTGTTCCATTCCCAGATTGATCTCTTTTGAACATCTCTACACTAGGTTGGTGCATACCAATATCTACACTATGTTTATGAGGCAAATGTTTATGTCCTCCGTATAATTATTATTTTTGGTATATACAATGAGAGTCATGCCTAACTCCACCATCAGTATGATGGACCTTTGAGAAAAAAATATTCAAAAACATAAACCATTCCTAGATTTTGCACTAGTAAAGATTTAAAAATGGGGAATCGTTTCTGAATTTTGCACAATAAAGGTTAAAAACATTAGGAGTCGTTCGTGGATTTGAAAATCCAACAAATCTTTTAATTATAACATAGTTTGCTGGAGTTATACTTGTCAAAGCTTCAAACTACAATACCGATTGCTGGAATATTTCATATGTTAATTGGGGGAAAAATTATTAATTTAATCGGACCAATGGCTACTTTGCTATTATAATTAAAAATATAAATAAACTCTAATAGCCGACCCAAGAAGCGACTAATAAATTTAATTTTTATTTCATAATTACAAATGTTAGAGCCCGTCTGAACATTCATTAAATAAAGGGGCAAGTATGAGACGAATTTAAAAGTACAGGTGCAAAGTATTTATGAATCAAAAGATAAATATAAGACAAGTCGAATACTTTAGGGGTGAATTTGAACATTTTTCTGCTAATAATTACAACAACTAACGTGGAGATAGTTATGAATTTTTAAAGGAAAATAAAAGCATGAACTATATAAAGGATTCATCTAGTAATATTCCAATTTATTTGGGATTTATGGGTAGCTGACCTTGATTTGCTTAATAAAAATGTAGCTGACATTTTTCATATTAGAAGAGAAAGTCAAATTGAATTTGTTAAATTAGAGGCCTAGAGGAGGTGCCAAGTGATTGATTGGAAAACTATAAGAAAAAGTTCGGCAATTATTTTGATAGCGGCTATACAATGTTATTTTCGCACTACCATATATACACAATGGGTCTCTCCTCCTCCTCTAGGTTAAAATAGCACGGATTAGCCAATTTTCGGACTGGTTATTCAAAAAGAGCCAGCGTTTGCAAAGTTATTGAAAAATAGCCACTATTTTACTGCAACACGAAAAGTTCAGCATAATATACTAGAGACCGGTGCACCTGTGCATGAATTTCTCCAACACGCGGAAAGTTCTAGTATAACATACTGGAGATTGGAGCACCGGTATATTATACTGGAGTATTTTTCCGGATTTTGAACAGTGTTTTCGTTCAGATTTATCTTTACATGAAAAGTGGCTAAATTTCGATTACTTTTGAAATTATAGCTATTTTTAAATGACCACTTGTAAATTTGGCTAGTTTTGAATTTCTCCCTCCTCAAGCTCCCAAAGATCTTCAAAAAGGCCCACAAACATCTAATCTACCTCACTAACCCACTTAAGTTATCTTGGGCCTACAAGATCTCGTTGGCCTGTTTACACTTTATCAGCCCAGCCCATTTGTCACGCTCAGTCTGAGTTCACTCGTCAAGATTCATTCAACAATTCAGTCAGTTGTTGATCCACAGCTAGGGTTGCTTCCAGCTAGACCATAAAGCCAATATGGTACGTTTTTGTTGATCTTTATATCTATTTCCACATTATTTTTTGTTAGCAGTTCACTAATTTCCAATCATTTCTGATTTCCTTATGAAAATTATTAGCTGTTCAAAGTCATTTTTTTATTTTTTTTTGCTTTGTAAAGTATAATCTTGATTCTAACCCTTTTCAGTTTTCCTGGATTTTGGCAATTTCCAGCTAAAATTTGTCTAAAGAACAAAAAAAGAACAAGAAAAAAGGAAAGAAGACATAAGGGGCAAAAAAAAAAAGAAAACGTAAATGATGGCTGGAAATTCTTTAGTCCATGTATCAACAAATTCTACTGTGTTTCCTATCATATCCGGTAGAAGAAATGTGTTGGGGGATCGTTTGTTGTGTGTAAGAACACCAATGAGGCCTAAAAATCAAACCTTTAGTGTCAAGGCAATGTCTGCGAATACGGGTCATAGCCAAGAACAAGAGCAACAACCTGCATCATCTTCCGAGCAAAAAGGTCCGCTTTCTGTGATTTTCGATGTTCCAAGGAATATTTGGAGGCGAACAATGCGGCCATTGAGTGATTTTGGGTTTGGAAGGAGGAGTATCTGGGAAGGTGGGGTCGGGTTGTTTATTGTTTCGGGTACAGTGTTGTTGGCACTCAGCTTGGTTTGGTTGAGAGGGTTTCAGTTGCGGTCTAGGTTCAGGAAGTATTTGGCTGTGCTTCAGTTTGAGCAGGCTTGTGGCATTTGCACTGGCACGCCTGTTAGAATCAGAGGAGTGAATATTGGTAATGTGATTCGAGTCAATCCCTCCTTGAGAAATGTTGAAGCTGTTGTTGAGGTGAGTAACATGTAAATTTGCACTGATGCTTTTGCTGAACCCTTTTACTATCTTTTATTTTTTAAAAGTAATTGTAGTTGTTTCCATAGATGCTTGTGAATGCGTTGATTTAAAAAAATTGATTTGTGTGTTTATAGGTTGAAGATGACAAGATAATAATTCCTCGAAACTCGTTAGTTGAGGTGAACCAATCTGGTCTTATCATGGAAACGATGATTGATATTACACCTCGAGATCCAATCCCAGTACCATCTGTAGGGCCCCTGCATCCGGATTGTGCTAAAGAGGGTCTGATAATTTGCGACAGGCAAAAAATAAAAGGATACCAAGGGGTTAGTTTAGATGCATTAGTTGGAATATTCACACGTCTTGGCCGAGAGGCAGAAGAAATTGGTTTGTCGAACACCTATGCGCTGGCTGAGAGAGTTCTATCTGTTGTTGAGGAGGCTCGGCCATTGCTTACAAAGGTTTGATGCACTTTACATTTAACCTCCACTTTTTTGTGTTTGTGCGAAACTGCGAATGAAATCTTTTTCTTTCTGCTTGCATCTTCTTGGTGCCATTTTATGAAATTCCCTTCATTTTTTTTAATTCTTTCTGCTCTTCTATTTATATTTCACAACTTCTCATCTAATAAGGAATTCATTAAGAACATGTGTTTAAGCTTAGGTTAAATAACACATCCTATGAAAGTGTAGTGTGTGACTTGTGAGTTGCACTTGAATGTTATGAACTTCTGTCCTCTTTGCCAGCATCTGTATAAAGAGCATTGGTGAAATATTTCAGTGTGTGATGAAACTTGCAAGTTGGACAGCATCTTATCTGGAGAACTTTCAATTAGGAGAGCTTGTGAAGTTGATAATGTGTTTCTTGAAGTGCAGAGAGTGGCAATGAGTTCATTAGCTCTGGCAAGCCCATATTAGATTGTGTCCTGAGTATATGACTTGGGCAGAGGAAAAATGTGAATGGATTGTCCGACTAGATCTACTCAATTTGTTTGCAATTTTTTTTATTGAAGGATATGAGTTATTTGCTATGTTTGTATTTGTCAGAGGTGCATGATAAATTGAAGTGAGTTGAATATCCTGGTTTGGATTTTAAAATCTATTTTTGTGTATTATTTTTTTTAAAATTCATTGGATATAGCGGAACCTTTTCAGCAGCAGTTGCCATTTGTTCTCGCATGAAAAGCAATTAAAATTGCTTGAAATACTTACGCAAGCTTGCAATTCAACTCAAGCTAGTGAGTTTTCTTAACTATTTCTGTGCGTCTATGTGTTTTAAATAGCTGCTGACTGAAAAAATTAGAGTTAGAATAGTTCTCTTTCTTGTTTGGCCAAATATAATTTGCCATACTCTAGAATAGTTGTCTTTCTTGTTTGGCCAAATATAATATGCCATACTCTTGTTAATTACTATAGACATTGCACTGAAGTTGTTGGTAGAGTGATTTTGAAAGAGAGACATAATAACTACCTTGAACAAATAGGATAAAAAACAGTCCCATAGGACAATTCCTTTGCTTTGTTGTAATTAATTTGATTATTTAATATCTGAATACTTGGAGTGCAAGTTCAGTGATGGGATGCTTGAAGCAACAACAGAAGTGAAGATTGATTCACAAGTCATCCCCAAAAGGGATAGTTTCAAATATCTTGGGTCTGTAATCCATGTAATCCAAGGAAACAGAGTAATTGACCAGGATATTACTCACCGCATTGGAGCGAGGTGGATGAAATGGAGGCTCGCTTATGGGGTTCTGTGTGATAAGAATGTGCCACCAAGACTTAAAGGCAAGTTCTATGGAGTGGTGGTTAGACCGACTAAGTTGTATGGGGCGGAGTGCTGGCCCGTCAAGAAGTCCTATGTCCAGAAGATGAAGGTAGCTCAAATGAGGATGTTGAGATGGATGTGGGGGCATACCAGGAAAGACAAGATTTGGAACGAAGTTATTAGGGACAAGGTGGGTGTGGCCTCGGTGGAGGACAAACTGTGAGAATCGAGGTTGAGATGGTCCGGACATGTGTAGAGGAGAGCCATAGATGCCCTGGTCAGGAGGTGTGAGAGGTCGACCATGGCGGGTCTAAGGAAGTGTAGGGGTAAGCCTAAGAAGTATTGAGGTGAGGTAATTAGGCAGGATATGTCACTGCTCTAGCTTATCGAGGATATGACCCTCGATAGGGTAAGGCGGAAGTCGAGAATTAAGGTGGAAGGTTGACAATAGTCGTTAGTTCCTTAGTCTTATTAGTAGTATTAGTACTATTTTTGTGTTTTTTTTCTTCTTATTCTTGGTTCTTTATATTACACGTTGTGCCATTTGTTCCTATTATATTGTTGTTGCTACTGTTTGTTACTTTAATTTCACTATTCCTTGAGCCGAGGGTCTATCGAAAACAGTCTCTCTACCTCCACCAGGTAGGGGGGGGGGTAAGATTTGCGTACACACTACCCTCCCCAGACTCCACATGTGAGATTACACTGGGTTTATTGTTGTTGTTGTATTGGATATAGTGGAACTATTAAAGAAGTGCTCCAGAATATGATTATAAGCTTGTTTGATTATTATTAGCTTTAGTACGTTTATCTGTTAGAGAATTCTGTCGAAAACCCACATTTTGTGCTTCGTGTGCCATTTCTATCTGCGGGAAAAATGCTCAAATTTCGACAATTTTCTATCTAATCCAGTTTGGAGTTGTAGATGTCCATTTAGTACACTAATATGGCATGTAGTGCATATTTTACATATGTGTCAAAAGCAACTGGACAGCTATTATTTGGTTGTCGGATGTCGGGTGGTCAGTGTAAAACTATGAGTAGTCATACTGCTGCAACATGTGTTTGCTATACCGCATTCATCAGTATCAAGCCATAGTTCCATTTGTAGATGGGGACGGGGTGGGGGTGGGGGGTAAACTGAAACAGTTGTCAATGTTGAGCATAGAGTTGCACTTATCCTATTGTGCTGAACAATTTATATGGTGTTCACAGGTATGTAGTATATTCTCATATATGAATATTGTACCTTTGATGTAGTGACATCTCAGATTAATGCCATGGCTGAGGATGTCCAACCTTTGCTAGCTGATGTTCGTGATAGTGGCTTACTGAAGGAAGTTGAGAGTTTGACGAGAAGTTTGACACTAGCTTCTGAGGATATAAGGTGAATCTATAATTTATGTTAGTTCGCATCACTGGATATATCCTATTATCAACTGTTTAATCAGCATTTTGAAGATCTTTTTGCAACTTTTCGGTATAACTCAATGAATACAGATATTACTATAATCAAAGGAAATCTATAAGAAAGGTTGCGTGCCTTGAATTGCTTGATCTCTCACTTTATCTCTCCCTTCCTCAACTTCAACTTCTCTCTATCTCCACCAGTCTCATAGGTTCTTTAATGGAGTTATAGCATTGCTACTCGTGAAAGAATCTAAGAATCTACCATAAAATATCAAGCAATCTGTAGAGTACAAGACCTTTATAAACCCTTTGAAGGCCCCTACACAACCTATATGGGGCAATTATATAACTTGCACACTCCCACACGTGTACCTGATTTCTGTTTTACACGTGTAATTCGAACATGAGTGAGAATGTTCACAGAAAAGATTGGCTTTGATACTATGTAAAAGAATCTAACCAAACCTTACAGAGTTTTCTAAAAAAGACTATGGGAAAGAATCTGAGCATTCAACAAAACCTTCCGACAGTGGTTTGAGTAAGCTAAGACCTTTATAAATCCCTTTGTAAGCACCTAGACAACTCATGTGATACAACTATGCAACTCAACATTACCCTTAATACAGATGTCAAATAAAATTTCTCCAAACTTGGTCATCCCATGCTATTAGACCCTGGTCTGCAGAAACTTTTATGACCTCCTAGGACCTTGAACGATCATCCTTTAAGCCATGTTGGTGTCTCAGCCATTTGAACAAGAATGGAAAGAGGATTCAAAAAGTAATTCATAGGATGTACTTGATACTTGTTACTTTGGTTGAATGGAACTAATCGAACAAATTAAGTTTTGCTCACGTTTCTCACCTGTTAGGCCAAAAAATTCTGTAGCTTAATTTGGAGTAAGCAAGGCCAATGAAAGAAAAAGTTCAATTAAGCAGCTAGCGAGTTTAACGAGAATATGGACTTTACACTACTCACTGCATTGCTTAACAAATACATTTCACAGATATAAAAATAAGGCATTGCATTTGCAGAGGGTAACATAATTAAACACTGAATGCATATGAATAGGTTACATACCAGTTAGCTGTGTCTTATTGCCTTTGTGCTATATGTGGTTTGTACACTTTTTATTTATTTTTAACTTTTTTACATTCAAGAACCACCTAGTTCAAATCTTGGATCTCTAGATGTGATGTCTCTTTCTTTTCCGAGATATATGTGATCTGTGTTAAAACCTGTGTCGATTCATTCAACATTTGGAAGACATAGCTGTCCCTGAAACCTTGAGACCTGTATTTATCGAGCATATTGACCCATATATATATATTACTTCACCCATACTTTCGTTTATGTGTCTTAGTTTTGACTGGGCGCAAAGTTTAAGAATGTAAAAAAGATTTTGAATCTTGTGATCTTTAAATTAAAGGTGTGTATAACATATCAAGGTTTGAACCTTGGTCTCCATTCACTTCATTGACCACTAGGCCATACCGTTGCATGGCTGTACATGTAATATACGAAAGGGTTAAAGGTTTCTAATTTTCTCATTACAAGCAGTGAGTTTCTTCTATTGACAACAGAAACAAAGTTCAGAAGCTTGTAGCTCTTCTAGTTTATGCATAAGTTGTTATGGACACTTTAAGGTTGCCTCTGTTACATTTCGCAAAGCAATGTCACTACATGCTTTTGGTCTTTTATGAACCGAATTGCAGGAGAGTACACTCCACGGTCATGACTCCTGAGAACACTGAATTGGTACGGAAGTCCATATATACGCTGGTCTTCACCTTGAAGAATATTGAGGTAATTTCCTGTGTGGTATAGCCATTCTAATGTGTGGCAGTTGCTTTCATGCTTTGTGATTTGTCATTTGTTGCATTCCGCAGAGCATTAGCTCCGACATTTTGGGATTCACTGGTGATGAACCTACTAGGCGCAACTTGAAAGTGCTTATCAAAACGCTAAGCAGGTTATTGTAAGGTTGGCAGATGTTGAATCAGATAAATGGCTTGCAATATTTGCCTAAGAGGTTCCAAGGGACCACGAAGCTTACTCTGTTTGGCAATGAGAGACCCATGGGGCTATGTGTTACGTCGGGTTTATGGCTTGTTTCTGCTAATCCAGTCGCTAGTTTACAACTTTGATCTGTAGGATTTTTAGGTGTGAAGGCTTCCTTTTCAAATTCCATCTGTGTAATGTCATTGAAGATTCTCTCATTAGTATGAGACTGAAATTTGATTCTTCTGTCACATTGCTTTCAGTTTCCTAATATCATTACTTGTCCAACCGATAACACATTTGTATTATTTTCAGTCTCATGGAAATTCCTATATATGGTTTTTGAAATTTACTAGTCCTTCCTAATCAGCAGTGTCATTGGACATGTGGTGAAGTGGTTCCTATAATTTCCTTTTGCAATTTTCAATTCCGGATTGACATATTTTCATTACAGCATCTGCAGCCATTCCAAACTTTAGCTGACTATTAGCCATAGCCTGCCAAGCTTCTAAAATCAGAAGAAGCTTCAGTTGAGAAGTGTTTTTTCTCTAAATTGTTTTTTCGCAGTTTGTGTTTGGCTATTTAATTAACTTGTGAGCAACAATTAATATTTGACCAAGTTTTTTAAAAGTGCTTTTAATAGCCCGTTTGGCCAAGCTGCAAAAATCAGCTTATTTTGAGAAGTGTTTTTTTTTCAAAAGTGCTTTTCTCAAAAGTACTTTTGGTGAGAAGCAGTTTGTGTTTGGCTAATTAGTTTGAAAAACACTTTTGAGCAGCAATGAGTGTTTGACCAAGCTTTAAAAAACTGCTTCTAAGTGTATTTTTCTCAAAAGTGCTTCTCAAAAAAGTGCTTTTGGAGAGAAGTTACTTTTTTTTGCTTCTCCAAAACTGCTTCTGCTTCTCCTCAAAAGCATTTTTTTCCTTCCAAAAGCTTGGCCAAACACCTCAATTTTTGGCCAAAAGCACTTTTGGCAAAAAAGATGCTTGGCCAAACAGGCTATAAGTGTATTTTCTCAGAAATGTTTTTCAAAAAGGTGCTTCTAAAGAGGAGCTACTTTTCTCTGCTTTTCCAAATCTGCTAGCCTGTTTGGCCAATTTTTTTTTTTGTTTTGGACCAGAAGTGCTTTTATTGAGATGTTTGGCCAAACTTTTAGAAGGAAAAAAAATTCTTTTGAGGAGAAGCAGAAAAATGTAGTTTCTCTCGAAAAGTACTTTTTAGAAATATACACTTAAAAACAATTTTCAAAAGATTGGCCAAACACTAATTATTGCTCAAAAGTGTTTTTTCAAATTAATTAGCCAAACACAAATCGATTCTCACCAAAAGTATTTTTTTGAAAAGCACTTCTCAAAATAAGCATATTTTAGAAACTTGACCAAACAGGCTATGCTTCTGCTTTTACTCAAAAGTACTTTTTCTTTTCTTCTAAAAGCTTGGCCAAACACTTAAACTTTGAAAAAAAAATAGTGCTTTTGGCCATTAAGAAGCATGGCCAAATAGGCTATATTGCATATTTCATGGTCAAATTATTTGCAAGGTCCTGAAGTTGCGAAGTCCTTAATTTTTTATTTTATCTTTTGGGGAAAAAAAGAAAGGAAAAAGTAATATGTCGTATCTCAAATTAAAATAATATTTGTTACTCTTTATCTTATTTAGTGGAGTGTTCTTTACACAATCAACTGTAATTAATAAGTTCTCAAATTGCGAGTCCTCACCATATTTGCAGCTTGGAGTTCTAGGTGTGGTTGGGGAGATCTTCATCTTGTTTCACACAGGAGTATTCATAAGTCAGTTTATTGTATGTATTTACTCACATACATAGAGGAGAAAAACTTACTCCCACTTGACGCATATCCGTAGTTCAATAATAAATCATAACTTAGAAGGTAGTAGAAAACTAGAGGATTCACGTTCCAGCGGCGACAAAAAATATTAGGTAATTTCTTCTTATCTACTTAAGTTTTGATGGGCAGAGCGATTCAGTACTTGTGCTAATGAAAAATAACAGATACTATTAGTTGAGGTGCATGTAAGTTGCTCCCGACACCACTATTATTAATAAAAAGAAGATAGTAGCGAGGATGAATTATAATTAGGTTCCCATTTGTTTTCTAGATTTTCTTATCTTAGAGAAGAACAAAACACCATCTCCTCATATTTAATTCAAATCAATCAAGGAGCCAAGGCTGCTATTGGTCATAGATCAAAGTAAATAGACAATCTGTTCAATCATTATATGAAAAATGTAAGTTAGTCCGACCCTTGAGAGAAATTAATCCAATATAAATATAATTGTTCTTACATAAAATCATAGAGTAGATCCCTATTCCTAGTCATGTAAAAATTTTCGAGCTACTATAGTTTCATGGTTTTCCACAGCTTCACAGGTGCAATGTCCTCCTAGGCATAGTGGAGTGCCTCTACTAATGGGGACTTTACAGTAAGTCACACAGTCCTGGCTGACTTTACATGGAGGGCCCCAAGCATCCACACTTTGAAAACCTATCAACATAGGAATAAAATTTGAGTAACACAGTTCTACTCATACTTTTATTTATGAAACGACATAACAAAAACATTATAAAACACGTCGGTGAAACATCTAATTATAGGAAAGCCTACTGAGTTAGGTTAGTCAATCTACGTGACTCAAGCATCAGTTTCCGAGAAGGGATAATTATATTACTTTTTGATTCGACTCTCGTTCTCTTTCTTATTTACTGTTCGTCTTTCTCTACAAAAAATTTATATAAAATCCTCTCAATCGGCTAAAGGCGCACACATAAAGAAATGTCGTAGATCATGAAATAATAAAATAAAACGGTTTTTAAGAAAATGTGGTGATTATACTCTTCACATTAATTTTGCAATTTTGTTATAAAAGGATTGTAATTTCCAAATGGGATTTCTACATTAGGTGGGTTATATGTGAATATATAAACAAATAAATAACAAGTGTGTGTTTATTAAAGATGTGTGTGTGAGAGAGAGAGACCAATTGAGATAAGAATGACAAACACCAAGGGAAACAAAGTGTATGAAGCTTTCCTCATAGCCATAGAGTTACTTATGTGATCGGTGATTATGAAGAATTAAACTCTATTATGATTTGTAGCTTGTACAAAAACTTGCAACCCCTATTGAGCTATATATAGTGCGGACAATAAGTTGATTTGAGGTAATTGCTATCTCTATGATTTGGGCAAAAATGGAAGAAAATTGAAAGCTCAATATAGTTAATGGCTGTCATCACAATCACTTAAGGCATGTAATTGAATTGTCATAGAACCAATTGCCTAAAGACATAGATGTTTCACTCAATTCCTTCTCTTGTAATCTACAACATATTACTTTCCCAAAAAGTGGGGAACTAGCCTATTAAAATATTTATTCCTTTCTACTCTCAAAAAAGATGAGAGTATTATATATTTTGAATAGATTTACTTGAAAAAAGATCCAAACACAATGTAGTTTTTTTTTAGTGCAATTGCTTTAGGAATGAAGTGATCACGTTCCGAAATAGACAATGTCTTTGGTCGAGAGGAGATGATGGTAGACGCCCGCGCTTCCTCTTGGAACTTATGTACGGTTCAATTGTTAATAAAATAGTTTTGACCTTTGTTTCGACAAAGGAACTCAAGCATGAACTAGGTTTATATATAGTGTACACAGATGTTACATCTCATATTTTCGTACGTGAAAGTACGCCATAAATAAATTGATGAAAGCTTGGAAATGAGATGTTACATCTCGCATTTTTGTACGTTAAAGTTTTATTGTAAGTTAATCGACGTAGGCTCAAGAATGAGATTATTTTGGGATTATAAGTATTATGCTATTTCAAACAAGGGATAAGTAAATTCGTGAAGGTGAGAAGGTAAGCAAATCGAAGAAAATGAGTTTCGTCGAAGTTTGACAATTTTGGATAAAATACGATTCGAGCTATAACACTCGGTATTTATGGACTAGTGCCATACAAGGTACCCCATGACCACGATAGTAGGGTACATAAAGTATGTTAAAAGTGAGTAATATTATATGTAATTTGAGATAATTCTTAATTATGTGGATAATTGAATAATTATTGGTCAATGGAAAATTAACAAGTTAATCAAGAGATTAGTGAATAATTAATGATAATCTTAGATAAGACCAAGGAACTCTTGATGTGGCAGCCAGCAAAGTCACAAAATATAACTCTTAAATCATTCTTCAAGGTAGCAAAATTTGTAAGTTTAGTGGCTTATTAGTCACCATACAAAGTGAGGACCACAACCCATAATGTTAAGAGCCTTTCCTATATTATTATTTGAGATACATAGATTTGGAAAGGGACGGATGGATTCTCAACAAATTGAAGATGCTTACATCAAAATCTCCAAGACATGTGTTATGTTACGCAACGCCTTCCTGATGTTCTTTGGAAGGGCAATGTAAGGCTAAGCAACCGATGTCAGTGCGGTTGCTATCCGCCAATGAGGTCCCCTCCGCACGCTAGACTAGAATGTCAGTGCCGTGCGGGAAAACCAATGTCACGAGCAATTGCAGAAGCTGAGAGAGAATTGGGTTTTGAATGATGATGATTTTATTGATGAATGAAATGCTGATTACAAAAGATGCGGTGTCGAGGGGGAGAGACACCAGTACAGAAAATTGATTGCTGAAAATGTTTGATTGCTTGATCCCCCCTAATAATGCTTAAAAAAAATAAACCAAAGTTGCAAGACTAGTCCTAATAAAGCTATATAAGCACACTGAATGAAAATGATGTAAACTAGCCTATAATTACAATGAAAAGGACTCAGTTTATTACAATGTAGAACTAAGTCCAATGGCAACAACTTTGTCTTGCGGGTCAGGGTCTGCGCGAGCGGTGTTGTGGGCGCGCGCGACACTTGCTGTGTTGGCCTGAGGCTGGGCGCTGGCGAGGCATCAGGATCTGCGTGCGTGGCATTGTCAGGGCGCGCGACGCTGTTGTCATTGGCCATCCACTGGGCGCTGGCGAGAGGCATCGGTAGGGCGACAGAGGCGCATGCGCATTTGTCACTTGGTGCAGCCAAGACCACGGGGCCGACCATGGTGCTAGGCATTGTGAGGCTTGCTAGGCCGCCATGGGCGCGATCAAGGGGTCATGGGGCGTGTCTGGAAAGTAGCCCATGACATTCTCCCCCACCTGAGTTGGCGCCGTCCTCGGAGCCTTATGATGATGATGATGATGATGCTTCTGGTGGTTGTTGGATGGGAGGTCTGCGCCCCTCTGTTCTGTGAGCTTGCTGTTGTAGCGACACAATGATTTCATGCGGCTGACGTGGAAGACTGGATGGATCTTCCACCAGGATGGAGTTTTCACC